AGCATACAGGAATGTACAAATTTAGTTCTGAAATTTAGTCCATTATTCAGAGGATAGAACTTAATTCATTTTGTTTTCAAGGGCAAGAATATTTAGGCTGGAACTCTCTTATCACAAAAGTTTATGTGTATTTAGCTATGTAGCAGAGGCACTAAGGCCACATCTGCACTGCAGAAATAATCCAGTTTGACACCACTTTTCCAGCCATGGCTCCATGCTATGGAATTCTGGGAGCTGTAGCTTAGTGAGCTGTTCAGTCTTCTCTGTCAGAGAACTCTAGTGTCTCACCAAACTACAATTCTCAGAATTCCATAGCACTGGGCCCTGGGAGTTCAAGTGGTGTCAAACTGGATTATTTCTGCAGTGCAGATGCAGCCTAAGAAACTCAGTTAGTGAACTGCCAAGATACATATCGAGTCACTGCACTGCACAAAACAAAGCAAAATAACACACCCCATTTTTCAAAACCCAACTTAACTTGTGACCATCCAGGAGTTGTTGTTTTCTCGCACAGAAAGCAGCTGTGCAGGAATGTTCTTTTTGGCACAGAAAGTTAGGCTTTCTGGGCAAGACACTTGCTTCTCTGCTGTGAGAAAATGGATTTTCTCACATTTTCTTCACAGAAATAAACCACAAATGGGGTGTGTGCGTGCACAAAACGAGTCCTGAGCTATGAGGTTTCTCATCACATCCAGGATTTTTCTCACAAAGGCTTTCCAACAGACGTGAAATGCTTTTTGCATCGATAAAAGACTCCACAAAGTCCACCTTGTCAACACTTACGCGGCGGCAAAGAAGCGTTTCACTCTCAGCCCAGCAGCCTTCAACTTTTCCTGGGATGGACTCGGTTTCTTCTCTTCCTCCTCTCCTTCCTCCATCTCTGGCTTCTCCCTTTGCTCACCAGAAGCTGGAAAAGAAAAAGAAAGTGTATGCATGCATGCATTCATGTTGGGTCCAGTGGATGCTTTTTTGGGGATGATGGGTTCTCATGGACATTTCCTTAGTGAACTCAGATATTTGTTCCCACCAACTCTCTTCAGCCTGGAGCCAAACAGGAATAATCATGAGTGATCATGGAGCCAGAATGGTGTAGTGGTTTGAGTGTTGGACTATGACTCTGAAGACCAGGGTTCGAATTCTGGCTCAGCCATGGAAACCCACTGGGTGACCTTGGGCAAATCACTCTCTCTCAGCCTCAGAAGCAACTCCAAGGCAAACGTATCATGGGGCTTTCTTGGCAAGAGTTGTTCAGAGTAGGTTTGACATTGCCTTCCTCTGAGGCTGAGAGAGTGTGACTTGCCCAAGGTCACTCAGTGGGTTTCCACGGCTGAACTGGGAATCGAACCCTGGTCTCCAGAGTCATACTTCAACACTCAAACCACTTTACCATGCCAACTCTCACAACCTACCTTCCTTCGCTTCCTCTTTCACAGCCTTGCTCTCTTCCTCCTCCTTCTTTTTCTTCTCCTTTTTCTTTCTGAACCGAGACCGGATCCCTCCCTTGGATGTCTGTTCTTCGGGCTCGGCTTCCTGAACCACCACCGTTTCCATCTTGGCAGGAGGGATCTGGGTAGCGGTCTCTTCGGGTATCTCTCCACTTGCTTTCAAAGTTGGTGGCTCGGCCGCCTCGGGCTGATGTTTGGCCAAGACGTCTTCTTCATGGTCCCAC